ATCGAGTCAACTGGCCTAATAGGATCGTCAGGCTGGATCAGTTCATCATGCTGGGTAGAGGCATCAGGCCGAGTAGAGGCATCAGGCCGAGTAGAGGCTTCAGGGCCGAGTAGAGGCATCAGGCCGAGTAGAGGCTTCAGGCCGAGTAGAGGCATCAGGCCGAGTAGAGGCTTCAGGCCGAGTAGAGGCATCAGGCCGAGTAGAGGCTTCAGGCCGAGTAGAGGCATCAGGCCGAGTAGAGGCTTCAGGCCGAGTAGAGGCTTCAGGCCGAGTAGAGGCATCAGGCCGAGTAGAGGCATCAGGCCGAGTAGAGGCTTCAGGCCGAGTAGAGGCATCAGGCCGAGTAGAGGCATCAGGCCGAGTAGAGGCTTCAGGCCGAGTAGAGGCTTCAGGCTGAGTAGAGGCTTCAGGCTGAACCACGGAAGGCAGGCTCACCGGTTTGGATACTGGCAGGATGGTATTGGTTGGAAAGAATTTTCGCTTTTTTCTGGTTTTAACTACTGGAGCACTGCAAGTAAACGCAGGTCTGCAAACGAATGGAGCAGCTGGAGACAGAGAAGAACTGGAGGATGGAACAGGAGAGGGAGCGGTTGCTACAGAGGGCTCTTTTACAGGGTTAAAGGCAGGATAGGTGCAGCGAGTGGGAACAGGGTACTGACATGCGGTAGATAGCAGGGCAGGAGGAGCTGTTGGGAATGCAGGAATAGAGTTTTGAGGAAATAGATTAGAAGCAGGACTGGGTCTTTGTAAGCTGACTGAGGCTGGGTGCAACAAATCTGTCCATGTCTGCAGTATGGGTTGAACAAAGCTGAGCTTACACAAAGCCTGTCTGGTCAATGACTGTACTGCGTTTATACAATCTCTTAGTGTCTGTGGTGAACATGTGGAATAACGCTCCAGAAAGTAACCCACATCATCCTCTAATAACCACACCAGGGACTCTACCTGGTCTGCACTAAATGGTGGCAAAAATTCATCCCTGCATTCGGGGGAACCAGATGAAACCAACTCAGCACAAACCTCAATCAAAGGCTGCACCTCAGAGAACTCTGTGCCCTGATCTACTAGAACATGAGCGAGCCATATACATTCTAGCAGTTCATCCCGGGTATACTCCTTCAGAGTCTGATAAGCATACTCCCTGTCATCAAACACTAGCAGATATAAATATTCAACCTCATCAAGATCCATCCTTCCCATCAACAAGCCAAGATGGCTTCCCTGTGCAGCCACTTCTGGTCAGGATTGGCCTTGGTGTAATGTCAGGGCTCCCAGGTATGACCAGAGGTGTGTGACTGATGCAGGGAAACGCAGACTTCAGATATGTGATAAACAATACAATTTATTAACACTAACCATACAAACATAAACGCAGTGCAATACTAAACATAATACAGTGCAAACGAAACCCAAACCAAACCACCCACAGATAACAGTACATACAAGCAAGCGTCGTCAGGCAGGCCGGGTCAATATCAATTGGGCAGGTAGGTACAGGGGGAGCAAGCAGAGAATGGTCGGGGTCACAGGCCAGGTTCAGCAGGTAGCAAGCAGCGTAGTACAGAGGGTCAGGCAGAGGGATGGTCAGGGTCACAAGCCAGAGATCAAAACAGGTAACAAGCAGCGTAGTACAGAGGGTCAGGCAGAGGGACAGAAACAGGATGCAGGACAGATACAGGGCCCAGGACAAACACAACACCAAGGCAGAGTCTGTGGGTCTGGCCATCCCTTAAATACCCCAGCATCATCAGTTCCAGGTGTTACTCTCCTGTAATCAAGAGCTTTTGAACTGCATTTCCCAGAGAGAGATTACCAGGTAGAGGAGAAAGAGTTGCATTTTCTCAGGCTAAACAGGACACAGCTTCCTCTTGCCATGAGGGAGCCCTGAGAGTGCACATCGCTGTCCAGTGTGCACCACCCCTGTTGCATATCAGCAGCTTCAGTGAGATCCGAAGTTCTGAGTCCAAACGTGCCGACAGCCAGAGTCTGGGTGCAGAGCAGAAACTGGACTTATCACTGTGTGTGACTGGATGGTGAACTGCAGTATTGCTGGAACTAGTGGGCTGCTGCTGTGGTGATTTATTATCTGCTGCTAGAGCAGGGGCAGACTGACAACTCATGGGGCCCCCAGGCAATAGGGGATCATGGGGCCCCTGTGTTCTCATCCACACCCAAAAAAGCCTATGAAAAAGCCAATGAAAGGTACCAGGGGCAACTCATGGGGCCCCCTACTGACCTCGGGCCCTTGGGCAGTGCCCGAGTGCTCGAATGGTCAGTCCGCCCATGTGCTAGAGAGACTGAGACCTTTAGGAACTTACCATGCAGCTGCATTGTTGCCTGCAGGCTTGACTTGGACTATTTTCATGTGCACCACTGGTATGACTGGGCCCCAACGTTAGCCAGCTGAAGAGTTACGACTAAACACTGTTCCTTTACATCTGCTATACAGACCTTCACCTATTGCCTATGATAAAAGTAACCTCTAAGGGAAAATTGTACCATAATCTAGCCATTTTCTAGACTAGTTATCGTATTATTATTTACAATACAGTTAATGCTTATATGCACTGTTTATTGTTGACTTTGCTGATGCATGAGTTAATTCTGGTCTAGTGGTACAGAACTCTATTCTATGTTACTTTGGCGTAGTGATTATGCAGTCTAGCGAACCATCTCTTAACCTGCCTTCTGTGTGTTCATTTATGCTCCAACCACTGTTTCTGCTAACCCGTACTAATACATTGAGTTCACTTACCATGAAACGGTCTTGTGTCTATTTCCTGGTACTAATTCACAGCCGAGTTAAAGGTATCTATACTTTTGTTCTTATAAGTGCTTGCAGTAACTTTTATTCAACCAGGTGTCAGATTGCCTGCGGTAGTTGGAGTCAAGGCGCAGAACAAAGAACCCAAATTACCAAGCAGCTCCTCCGGGGGTAGCACTACACAGGTCTGCCCAATGTAGTTTTAAGTCTGTCATAACCTGCAGAAGGCTTTCCTAAGCAGAACCCTGAAAAACAGATACCATTTTAATGGCTATCATAAAATCAATCTAGTTTTGCTGGCCTAACAAATTACACCCATTATTCTGACATCTCCCAAGCCAACAGCCTATTAACAGGCTTTTTTACATGCCATAAAAAAGATGAACTTGAAAATGTCCAAATATCTTAAACTATACAAAAATACAAAAATCTACACACTGTTCATAAATTTGGATGTGTAAATACCAAGCAAATAATAAGGAACAGTCATAAACATTTCACACCCCCTCAGCCACTCAGACCCTTTGATTAGTGATGTCATTTCTGCAAATGCCTTTCTCAAGGGTCATAGAAAGCTGATGCAACTGCAGCTAGTTGACATTCCTTTTCCATCAAAACAACCCACACCTGTGGAGAATCATTCTAAGAGTTAATGTTCCTGATACCCTAGATTGGACTTGAACTACATGTATTGGATTCTGGAACCACAGACCAGGCACCGCCTTCTTATGTTTTTTTTTCTTTGTTATTCCCATTTATTTTGCTTTTGCTACAATTGTCTATTTTTATAAATGATCTTTTTCTGTATAAATATTTTTCTTGCAGTTTCCTTTTCATTCATTCAAGTGGTTCTAAAGGCTTAAGGTTTTCCATTCTCTGCACCGTGGTTGTAAACCCAATGTTGGTCAAATGCTGAATACTGTCATCCATAAATAAATTGAGTGCTTTGTGTCTGATCGCCTCTTTGGAAAATGTTTCTGTCACTCCATTTTTGAGATGTAGCCCTCCGAAGTTGTTCCTTTCTGTGTGCGTGGGGGCAGTCGGGAGCTTAGGTGGCGTAGTATTGATGTCACCGGAATCCAGGGGCGGACTGACAACTCATGGGGCCCCCAGGCAATAGGGGATCATGGGGCCCCTGTGTCCTTGCCCAAACTCAAAAAAGCCTATGAAAAAGATACCAGGGGCATCTCATTGGGCCCCCAACTGACCCTGGGCCCTCGGGCAGTGTTCAAGTTTCCAAATGTTCAGTCCGCCCCTGCCGGAATCCCCTCCCCGCTCTACATGCCCTCATCCCCGTGCTCATCCCTGACATAGTGGTGCACACTGTGGGAGTGCTGCCCACTCCCCTTAATGAGTCCTGTCCAATAAGACACCTGGATCTGCACCACCTGATTTCCTTCCCTTCCACAATGCTGAGGAATAGAGCTGCCAATCCAGGTGCAGCTGGAGGAGGAGAGGGAGAGAGATCTGTGCATGAGTGCACAGGAGTGGGGCTGCCGTTAGAAACCACTGAGCCCCATACTGAGCCAACCTGAAAGGGCCCTCCCAAAAAACACAGTTATGACTGAACACAGTGAGTGATCGGTACAGAGGAAAATGTCACATATTTACCAGACCCTTCCCCCACTCTCCATCCTGATTGATCCTAACGTGTGCTTGCAGTTGCTGGTGGAAGGAGAGGAGGAAAGGTGGCAGTACTGTGGGGGTGGGGACACACAGGGGGGTCTGGGCAGTAGGGGAAATGTATGGAGCACACAATCTCCAGCACACAGCCTGTGATTGATATCCTCAGATCTGCGTTCCAGCACAGAGGGGGTGTGTCCCTTCCCTCCAATCAGCTCTCGGAGCTCTCCTCACTGAGCTCTTAAGTGTGTCATTTCACACAGTCCCCCCCTTATTTTCTGAACTCTCAGACAAGCTGTATAAATTCAGCACTTTGAACAGATAGCCAAGTACAACTTAATTAGGAAGATTTGTTTCATCTATGTGTATCACCTGAGGAAAGTCACTTCACTAGGCATATGTAAGGGTTTACATCCACTTTAAACAAAAAGCTAGTGCCAGATAAACTGATTGGGCCTGGATAAAGAGAGGAGGATTTCACACCCAGAGCAGTGAGCAGGAAGACACACACCCATCCTCGCACACATCTCCGGAGATACATACCTATTTATCTAACAAGACTAAGAAACTGTATTGAAAATGTTTTGTCACAAACATTTTTTTTTTTCAAAAGGTATTATGTTGGTGACTCCACAGAGGTTTTATTTGAGCGGTGGTTTTACTGTGAAGACCTGGGAAAGCAGCTTATTCCAGTTATTAACGAGTAAGTTCACCACCTACTGTCTGATCCAGGTATTGCAAACACAAAGATGTATATTTCTGTGTTTTTCAATGATTTTTAGTTTTACAATAAAAAATTAATCTATTGAAGCCCTGCCTAACTTTTTATATAAAAGTACCCACACCTTTACAGAAATTTAGATATTTTTATATTATTTTGGGATGAGACATCAAAATGACAGAAATCAGATTACTGACAGGGAGACCACCTGCTTTTAAAGCTGGACTCCTGTACTAAGGCTAGGTTCACGCCTATGCAGATTGCGCTTGAGTGGTTTCTGCATTGCGTTTGGGGTTGTGTTTTTGCACTTGTGTTTTTTTTTTTTCTTTTTTAAAATGCAAAAACGCATCACAAATGTGGCAAAAATGCATTAAAAATGCAGCAAAACGCAATACATGCTTTTTTGCAGCATTTCCATTAAAGTCTATAGAAATAAAAACTTTTTGCGCTCTAAAGTTCCTGACCCTTTCCAAAAAACGCACCGGTTGAAAACGCACAGATGTGAATCTGTCCCATAAGAAATCATGTTAAATGGACTATACTGCGTTTCTGAAAAACGCTGCATAAAACACTTAGGTGTGAACCTAGGGTAAGATTGCCTACTCTTCTCCCTGTGTGCACTAGAACCTGCAGTAAGTCAGATAGAGCCTCCCACGTTTCCTGGCTGGAGGACAGCCAGCATCATTTAACTCTTTCTTCCTTAGCCTTACTATTTCATTCATTGGATTTCAATTCTTTTAATTGTAGCACTACCCCCTTAGGAGTCATTGATGTTTTGGGTCCCCCTATAGTCCTGCACAGCCAGACAACATGCATTTTCTTCAGACCTTGCACAGGAGACAGTAAACAGTCCTTGAGTTTGTTGTTTTTTTTTATTTTATTAGGGGGTATTAAACTTGAATGGGGTTGAGGGATGTATGGGATGACCCAGGAACATTAAACTGAGGACAGTTCCTTAACAACTCTGTCCAAAGACATACAATTCTCATCTTGTAGAGCTCACCAGCCTCTCCTAGCGTACTACCCCTGACTCCAGATGAATCCTCTCCTCATCCACCTGTACTGGGTGAATCCCTGGGCAAGGGGACCTGGAATCTATCTCTTTAAATCAAACAATCCCAGATGGGGGCTAGTCAGGTTTCCCACCCAAATGCCCATTCCCCTTATCCGGCCCAGAAGTGTAGGACTACTCACTCTTCCTCTCCTGAAAGCTTGTTGGGTTGGTGGCTGCCTTTAGGCCTTCCGATGGGCTGGCTCCTTCCCCACTGCTCAGCTAGTCCTCTCTCAGGGGTCTGCTGAGGTTGAGAGATCCTCCTTTCAACCTCAACCTGGAAGTAGGCCCCTTCCCACTGGGCCCCCTCCCAGGCTCCTGCATCCCAGCCTCTCGCTTCATCTTCCACCTGAACTCTCCTGCTGCTGAGCAGGCTCTGTCACACTTAAAGGCTGCCCTGGCCAAGCCTCCTGCTTGGGGATTGGCCATAGTCCCTTAAGTGTGCAGACCAGCCCCTCTTCACCCCCACCCACTGATTTCTAGAGACTTCTCAAGTCTCTAGAGCAGGGGTAGGTATCAGGGAACTGATTTGCAAAGCCCTCAGCTCTGACCTGAAATGACCTGGCTGACTCACACCCAGGATGACTCATGCCCAAGCTGCCATCCAGCCTTTCTTTCTAAAAAAAAAAATGAGCTAGCTCCCCCTGGATAAGTAGAGGGGCACTGCATAATCATGGAGGCTCAGCATCACATGTAGACATTATCTAGGACAGTCTGCATGTAATTACAGCCTGTCTAGGAACATTCCCTCCTCCAGACTGACTTCCACCCATAAAGGCATTTTTATATTTGCATAATTCTTCCCAAGAGCCAGCCCTCTGCTTGCATCAGGGCTAAGGGCTTTTAGAAGGAGTACTGAGACAGGGTGATGTGATGTTTTTAGAAAACCATGTACAGCATACTGCCAGTGGCTCCAATCAGCCATGGTCTGCCTGTATTGCATAGAGAAACACAGAGACCCAGTGCTAATCTTCTATAAACATACGTTATTAATGAAAATAGGCTTTGTTTAAACATTTCATTAGCATGGCATAAACAAAATGGGAGGGAAGAACCAGGGAATGCAAAAATATATAAACATATTAAACTTTGTCTTTTGTTCTGATTATCTATATTGATACTTGTGAATATTGCGTTAAGGCATAAATAATTCTGCATTTTATATTTAGTTAACTTTAACCAATAATGAAGCTACAGTATGTGTTCATATAAATCAGTGGTCTCCAAACTGCTGCCCCTGGGCGAATGCGGCCCTTTGCCTGCCTCTATCCGGCCCTCAGGGTACTATTCTTCCCACTGTCACCAACAACAAGGCACCATTTCTTCTACTGACACCAATAATGGGGCACATTTCTACCCACAATTAGATACTTAATACCAAGGAGGGGCTACTCCTTCCTCTTTAATTTCTACCAAGGACGGGGCACTACTCCTTCCTCTGATACCAATGATGGGGCACTATTCCTGCCACTGTCACCAATAATGGGGCACTATTCCTGCCACTGTCATCATTGATGAGGCACTATTCCTCCCACTGTCACCAATGATGGGGCACTATTCCTCCACTGATACCAATGATGGGGCACTATTCCTCCCACTGTCACCAATGATGGGGCACTATCCTCCTGTCACCAATGATGGGGCACTATTCCTGCCACTGTCACCAATGATGGGGCACTATTCCTCCCACTGTCACCAATGATGGGGCACTATTCCTCCCACTGTCACCAATGATGGGGCACTATTCCTGCCACTGTCACCAATGATGGGGCACTATTCCTCCTCCCACTAATACCAATGATGGGGCACTATTCCTCCTTCACTAATACCATCAATGATGGGGCACTATCTCCTCCCTAACACCAATGATGGGGCACTATTCCTCCTACTAACACCAATGATGGGGCACTATTCCTCCTTCTGTCACTAATGATGGGGCACTATTCCTCCCACTAATACCAATGGGGCACTATTCATCCCACTAATACCATCGATGGGGCACCATTCTTCCCACTGTCACCAATGATGGGGCACTATTCCTCCCACTGTCATCAATGATGAGACACTATTCCTCCCACTGTCACCAATGATGGGGCACTATTCCTCCCCCTGTCACCAATGATGGGGCATTGTTCCTCCTCCAACTAACACCAATGATGGGGCACTATTCCTCCCACTAACACCAATGATGGGGCACTATTCCTCCCACTAACACCAATGATGGGGCACTATTCCTCCCACTGTCACCAATGATGGGGCACTATTCCTCCCACTGTCACCAATGATGGAGCACTATTCCTCCCACTGTCACCAATGGTGGGGCACTATTCCTCCCACTGACACTAATGATGGGGTACTATTCCTCCCACTGATACCAATTATGAGGCACTATTATTCCCACTGATACCAATGATGGGGCACCATTTCTCCCACTGTCACCAATGATGGGGCACTATTCCTCCCTCTAATACCAATGATGGGGCACTATTCCTCCCACTGACACCAATGATGGGGCACTATTCCTCCCTCTAATACCAATGATGGGGCATTGTTCCTCCCACTGTCACCAATGATGGGGCACTATTCCTCCCACTGTCACCAATGATGGGGCACTATTCCTCCCACTGTCATCAATGATGAGGCACTATTCCTCCCATTGTCATCAATGATGAGACACTATTCCTCCCCCACTGTCACCAATGATGGGGCACTATTCATCCCACTGACACCAATGATGGGGCACTATTCCTCCCACTAACACCAACGATGGGGCACTATTCCTCCCACGTCACCAATGATGGGGCATCATTCCTCCCACTGTCACCAATGGTGGGGCCCTATTCCTCCCACTGTCACCAATGATGGGGCACTATTCCTCCCTTTAATACCAATGATGGAACACTATTCCTCCCACTGTCACCAATGATGGGGCACTATTCCTCCCACTGATACCAATGATGGGGCACTATTCCTCCCATTGACACCAATGATGGGGCACCATTTTCTCCCACTGTCACCAATGATGGGGCACTATTCCTCCCACTGTCACCAATGATGGGGCATTGTTCCTCCAACTAATACCAATGATGGGGCACAATTCCTCCAACTAATACCAACGACTGGACACTATTTCTCCTTTCACTGACTAAAAGCATATTGTCATTTTTTTTACTCCTACTGATGCTGGGACATTTTCTACTCCCACCGGCCACTCCTGCCCCCCTAAAGTCTGAAGGACAGTAAACCGGCCCTTTGTTTAGAAAGCTTGGAGACCCCTGATATAAATAATTGTTAATGTAGTATTCAGTGCAGATAGTGTAAGTACCTGACTGATGTGCTGTTGCTGTTTCTTTGTTTATTCAGGAATGTACAATCATTCCCACACCCCCAAAAGTTTGACCCTGGCCTCCTCTGACTTGTGACCTCCCTTTGGTCTGTTACATATACAATTGAAATCATTTTGTTATATTTGTTTAATAAATGCAAAAATACTTTTAAATCCTGCCAGAAATCTAGTGTGCTCGTAACGTTCTGTGTGCTCTGCCTCTGCTGACTGTTATCAGTTGTCATTGTCCCCAGTTCTCTCTGTGGACAACAGAACACCCTCCCTCCATGTTAGAGAGAAGAGAAGGTGGAGGTGTTCTGGAGTCCTTCTAGTAGGCCTCTACCATAAAAATCTAATAAACATATAAATATTTCTTTTCAGATTTTTCAACTCAAAACAATATAAAACTGGAAATCCTGACCCAGGTAACATAAAAACTATCAGTACAAGGAATGATTATTTGTTCAGATTTTGCTGTTCTGTTAGGGCTCCTTCACACAGGCATTGAAATAGATGGTTGGGTCACATTTTAACTCTTCCCAAACGCCTCTCAATGTCACTCAAAATTGTTAAAATAGGGAGCAGATGGAGGTGTTCACACACATGATTAGCGTTGTCTTATGTTGCAGCGAGGCAAAAATAGTGCTACCTACAGAGATTGGCAGGCATTGATGATTTGCAACTGCCTCCATTCACTTCAATTGAAACACATCACACGCACTACAAACTCACTGTACTGCATTTACAGTGCAATCAAGGTGCGGTTGCAAAGCATCAAAAGTAACCATTTCCTATTTTAGCCTTGTACAACAGAAGAAGACACATCTCACAACGCATTTGAGGAGTGTTTCCTGACACAACATGAATGCCTGTACAACACATCCAAATACACGTTAGTGCTTTCGTACACTTTAAGGCTCCATTCACACTTGTGCAACTTCAAAATCTTGCAATTTTCATTGCGACTTTACAGTGCAACTTCATGCGACTTTGATGCGACTTTGGATGAGTGCGACTTTGGCTTTGGCGAAGGATGATTGTTTGTGCTGTACAAAGTCTCACGCAAGTTGCACACAAGTCACATGTATATCATTCAGGTGTGACTTTAATGCAACTTTGGAGGGTTTACATTGAAGTCTATGGCCCTCAAGTCACATGAAAGTAGTGAAGGAACTATTTCCAAGTTGCTGCGACTTGAGGTCACACATATATGAATGGTACTTATTGGGAAACGGGGGGGGGGGGACTTGTCATGCGACTTTGGACCCCAAAGTTGCATGACAAGTCGCACAAGTGTGAATGGACTCTTAGGCTGCTTTTGCAATTCAGTACCTTTCTGAAAGACCGCTTAGGCTGGAGAATTTTTTTATCCAACCCAAAAAAGATTCAACAAACTTGTACAACAATCAATACAACACATGTAAAAGGGATCAGCTAGATGTCAATAATATTTCAAGTGTATATTACACCTTAAAGTGGTTGTAAACCCTCACATATACCCAATGAAATGACTGGGCACGGGTGATACAAAGCAATGAAACAAATCCTACTTCATAAGTTGTACCTGTTTAGCTATAGCTGTCTTTCCCCTACATCCATTCAAAGTGCAGAATTTACACAGGATCTTTCAGATCTGAAAAGCAGGGGGCAGGGAGCTGAAGTTACATCAGTGAGGAGAGCACTGACAGCTGATTGGAGGGAAGAGACACACCCCACTCCACACAGCACACAAGAACAGAGCTGAGGCTGTCAGTCACAGGTTGTGCCCTCCCCTTTTTACAATTTTTTTCTTGGTGTAAGGAAAACTTGTCATAAGTGACTCATGCTGATAGAAGAGGAATGAGGCAGTAGACAGAAATGACACTCTGGACTCAGACATGCACACACTATAGAGGGATGCGCTTTGTCCATGTTTCATGTCTGAAGTTTACATCCACTTTAAGGACCCTTTTAGAGGTGTGTTTTTGTATTGCAAGTGCATTGCCACAGGGACGTAGATACATTTTTTTTTCTGGGGGGGGGGGCTCTCAGCTCGCAGCCGAGCTGTGTTTTTACCAACCCCTAACTGCTCCACCTTAAACTGCAAAAGCAGCAGATGGGTGCAAAAGTTATATAGGCTGTTGCACTCGGCAGGAAATGTGACCCATTCACCATGCAGTTGTGGCGCAGGTTTTTAGCGGTTAAAACAGGCAGCAAGGAGGCAACATACGCCTCACAGATGCATAAACCTAAACAGAACAAAGACAGAGACCTAGCACTTTGAGCCTACTGGGAAGATGAACTTCATTAAAATAGTTGCAAACTAGACAGCAATGAGCAACTATTGAGGAAAAAAAAATTTAATCAGACATATGGCACACAGGCTGTAATATACTATATGTACTGTAAGTGCAGGTGTAAGGCTGGCCACACATGGATCGTTTTTGCGATTAGCTGGTGCGCTGATAAAAAACAAACAGATTTCCCCATCTACAAAAGCAAGGTGGATGGAGAAACCCTGCCAACTCTGTTATTGTACTCTATGATGGCCATACATGGATCCAGATTCTGCCAGTTCAGCAGGGACTGGCCGAGTTTCGATCCATGTTCAGGGAGGTTTGTACAGAAGTCAATCTACCAATCAGCTGATGAACTGCACTGCATAGGTGACCATATTGGAAACTGTCCTTGCTGGAGCTTGTTCACTTCCATTGACATTTACAGATGGAGCAAAGCGCCCTGTTTTTTACAGTCTCTCCCCTTAATAACAGACAAGTGGTAACTCTGCTCTGGGGGAGGTTCAGACCCCCCCTTATCTCCCCCTTATCTACGCCCCTGCATTGCCATGTGTCATGGTGCATTGTCATGCATTATTAACACACATTCATGCATATTTTCCATGTGTTTTTAAATTTAGAATTTGGACTGGATAGAGTTAACAGCCTTTGACTAAGGCTGGTTATTACACAGCATTAAAGCACACACATGTAATGTGTTTTGATGTGTTTAACATTGACTTGTGTGGGTCTCACAATGCACTAAAACTCATAAATAAATGGACATGTATCAAAATACCTTGCACTGCAGCATGGAGATGGGAATAGACACTATTTTTATTATTTATTATTATTTTTATTTAAATTCTATAGGGACATTGGACATGTTTGAGCATATTATAAGGTGTGCCTTAAAATGTAGCACTGTAAATGGGTCCTATGTACAGTATGTATCATTTTGCAAACTCAGCTAATTCCATGTCTGTGTGTATTTCCCATCATGTATTGGTGGCATAGAAATATTCATTAGCAACGAACATGGTGTTAATAGCCAATTTACTATCAAAAAGCACTATGACATGTTCCTCGGGCTTCTATAAATGGTCACAGTTGGGTACAGTTAGACACCCCCTCCATCCATTGCACACAGGATTTTTTCAGCGGTTTGGAACTGTGGTTCCAAAGATGGCGGTGGCATGTTTCCACCATAAGGAGTTTTCCCTTATATTCCTATGCAGAACCCTCTGAATGGCAAGCCATACAATTATTTGTTAAGTGGCCTCTCCATAGGAATACATGGAAAACTCAGGCCAATGACAAAATGAGACCACGTACCATTGCAAAAATGTACTCAGCGGATACTTTCCTGCCAGGATCCTAGAAAATGGTAAAGACATTAGTTTTGATTGGAGTAGTTCTTTAGTGATAGATTATTAATTTATGGATTATAGGTCTACTTAAAAATGTATGTAGATTTAGCTTTCCCCCTACTGGACCACTGGATTCCAAAGGTTCTTCTCCCAAAATTAGTGCAGAGGCAGCCAGGCACACAGCAACAGTCCACTCATTCTGGCTCAATCAGTCTAGGTTGGAGATGTCTATTTTTTGCTGAAACTTGCCTGGGGAGGATAGTGGGGTACGGGATACTCCAAAATGTCTGAGCACAAAGTTGAGGAGGACCCTTCTCTAGGGAACAATGACACTCCCAACTGTAGACCAGGAGAATGTAAGAGCATGAGTAGGATATAAAAGTAGACTGGAACAGTCTAAGTTTCCCCACAAATTGCAACCACATGACAGATTTGTGCAATTATTAGGAGGAGACTGGAGCAGTCTGGGTTTTTTTCAGCTGAAGATCACAAGATGAAATAGCACAATAGGCACACCAGAGCAGTTTTTAACATGCAAAGTTAGGTACCATAGATATACTGCAGCTCAATAGATTTGGCTCTACTCATGAATCCCAGTAGAAGCAAGTCCATAGGCTCAATCCAGGGAGGGAGTAGTCCAGCAGCCAGTCCAGGAGGCTTCAGGGCTTAACAGCCTCCCTGAAGCACATGGTTCCTGTTTCCTCCAGGGGAAGAGCAGAGCTACCCAGGCCCCTGGCTATTTACCTGCCTCCCACTCACCATCTTGGCACACCTCTCCAGAGACTGACTGAAGCACGGTAAAAGCCCAACCTGAGCATTTGAATTTCCCACCCTGAACTCTGGAAAATTCTCAACAGAGCCAGGGAGAATCAATCAAGTCCTCAGACTGTGGCGCTAGAACAGACCAAGGCATCAGATCACAGCTCCTCTGGTTACAGAGTGAGTCAGACTAAATTTACCTATTATCCCTAGCCTAGGAAGGTGCTACACAGACATCCATTAAAATTAATGCTACGTGTTCTTCATTCTTTTACTTAATAGGAACCATTGATCAAACCCAAGTCTTCCGAGTCTCACAGTTTGTAAATGCCACTTTCCAGAAATCATTTGAGTAATTTGTTATCTTAGAACTCATTTGCATCAGCGAATGTCCCCAAATGTCTTCTGGAAATGATGAAACTTCAATTATTCTATCCCCTTGTGAATTCCAAACACTGAACAAGTTTGGGAGAAACGTTGCGAGACTCGTCTAACTTCCAGCACTACCGTGAAGTACAGAACAGGCAGTGTAATATGCATTAGCTTCAGACTTAATCTACTGATAGAGGCATTTATATTTCTTTTATGATATTAGATTTTATTAGGTCAGTAAATCACATAAATAATTATTGGGCAGAATTGGCAATAGGTCTGAGATGCAACTACTGTATTATTTTACTTCTGGTGAAATAATGGGCAGTCTGATATTAAATCTTATCTCCGCTATCTGAGGAGGAATCCTGCATCAGTCAGTTACTCTGGTCCAGGGGTGGACTGACCATTTGAAAACTCGGGCGCTGCCCGAGTGCCCGGGGCCAGTAGGGGGCTCCATGAGATGCCCCTGGTACCATTTTCATAGGCTTTTTTGAGTTTGGGCAAGGACACAGGGGCACCATGATCCCCTATTGCCTGGGGGCCCCATGAGTTGTCAGTCCGTCCCTGCTCTGGTCATATGTTTAAGAAGAACTACATTCTAAACTAAACATTTTCCAGAGCTGCCAGTGGCAACCTGTTTAGACTTTGATCTCTGAAGACTCTGAA